GGTGTGTGTGTGTGTGTGTGTGTGTGTGTGTGTGTGTGTGTGTGTGTGTGTGTGTGTGTGTGTGTGTGTGTGAGTGTGTGTGTGTGTGTGTGTGTGTGTGTGTGTGTGTGTGTGTATTGTATACAGTATATATTGTGTAAGCTACTGATGTTGAAATGAAGGTTTAGCGGAACGCTGGTGTTGTTGTGTTTCTCGTCGGTCTGATTTGAGCGGCGCACTGCTGGAGACGCGCGTCCGGATGAATTTATTTCGGCTTTTTAAATGAAATATTAACCTTTATTAATGTGATCAGTGTTATTAAAGTCATTAATTTAATCATATGTGAATGTGCTGAGGATGGAGAGCGATATACTTGACGTCCTGGATCAGGTCGGGTAAGCAGCAGCTGGTTTAAAGAGCATATAATGTGTGATTGTGAGATGTGTATAACACATATGACACACACACACACACAGAGACAGACACACTCTCTCACACACACACACACACTCTCTCTCTCTCTCTCTCTCTCTCTCTCTCTCTCTCTCTCTCTCTCTCTCTCTCTCTCTCTCTCTCTCTCTCTCTCTCTCTCTCTCTCTCTCTCTCTCTCTCTCTCTCTCTCTCTCTCTCTCTCTCTCTCTCTCTCTCTCTCTCTCTCTCTCTCTCTCTCTCTCTCTCTCTCTCTCTCTCTCTCTCTCTCTCTCTCTCTCTCTCTCTCTCTCTCTCTCTCTCTCTCTCTCTCTCTCTCTCTCTCTCTCTCTCTCTCTCTCTCTCTCTCTCTCTCTCTCTCTCTCTCTCTCTCTCTCTCTCTCTCTCTCTCTCTCTCTCTCTCTCTCTCTCTCTCTCTCTCTCTCTCTCTCTCTCTCTCTCTCTCTCTCTCTCTCTCTCTCTCTCTCTCTCTCTCTCTCTCTCTCTCTCTCTCTCTCTCTCTCTCTCTCTCTCTCTCTCTCTCTCTCTCTCTCTCTCTCTCTCTCTCTCTCTCTCTCTCTCTCTCTCTCTCTCTCTCTCTCTCTCTCTCTCTCTCTCTCTCTCTCTCTCTCTCTCTCTCTCTCTCTCTCTCTCTCTCTCTCTCTCTCTCTCTCTCTCTCTCTCTCTCTCTCTCTCTCTCTCTCTCTCTCTCTCTCTCTCTCTCTCTCTCTCTCTCTCTCTCTCTCTCTCTCTCTCTCTCTCTCTCTCTCTCTCTCTCTCTCTCTCTCTCTCTCTCTCTCTCTCTCTCTCTCTCTCTCTCTCTCTCTCTCTCTCTCTCTCTCTCTCTCTCTCTCTCTCTCTCTCTCTCTCTCTCTCTCTCTCTCTCTCTCTCTCTCTCTCTCTCTCTCTCTCTCTCTCTCTCTCTCTCTCTCTCTCTCTCTCTCTCTCTCTCTCTCTCTCTCTCTCTCTCTCTCTCTCTCTCTCTCTCTCTCTCTCTCTCTCTCTCTCTCTCTCTCTCTCTCTCTCTCTCTCTCTCTCTCTCTCTCTCTCTCTCTCTCTCTCTCTCTCTCTCTCTCTCTCTCTCTCTCTCTCTCTCTCTCTCTCTCTCTCTCTCTCTCTCTCTCTCTCTCTCTCTCTCTCTCTCTCTCTCTCTCTCTCTCTCTCTCTCTCTCTCTCTCTCTCTCTCTCTCTCTCTCTCTCTCTCTCTCTCTCTCTCTCTCTCTCTCTCTCTCTCTCTCTCTCTCTCTCTCTCTCTCTCTCTCTCTCTCTCTCTCTCTCTCTCTCTCTCTCTCTCTCTCTCTCTCTCTCTCTCTCTCTCTCTCTCTCTCTCTCTCTCTCTCTCTCTCTCTCTCTCTCTCTCTCTCTCTCTCTCTCTCTCTCTCTCTCTCTCTCTCTCTCTCTCTCTCTCTCTCTCTCTCTCTCTCTCTCTCTCTCTCTCTCTCTCTCTCTCTCTCTCTCTCTCTCTCTCTCTCTCTCTCTCTCTCTCTCTCTCTCTCTCTCTCTCTCTCTCTCTCTCTCTCTCTCTCTCTCTCTCTCTCTCTCTCTCTCTCTCTCTCTCTCTCTCTCTCTCTCTCTCTCTCTCTCTCTCTCTCTCTCTCTCTCTCTCTCTCTCTCTCTCTCTCTCTCTCTCTCTCTCTCTCTCTCTCTCTCTCTCTCTCTCTCTCTCTCTCTCTCTCTCTCTCTCTCTCTCTCTCTCTCTCTCTCTCTCTCTCTCTCTCTCTCTCTCTCTCTCTCTCTCTCTCTCTCTCTCTCTCTCTCTCACACACACACACACACACACACACACACTCAGAACAGATTTTCAACCAGAGCAGAAAGTCTTGTGTGTGTGTGTGAAGTGATGACAGTAAATGCTGAGGGCAGAAATCCTCAGTAAGAGCAGATATCTGTCGAAAACTTGATTTCACTTTGAATGAAGTTGCATTTTTTGGGAGCAGAGATATTGTTTCATTTTTATGCATTTATTTATTTTGTAAAATTGTAGAAAGTAATTGTTGTTGGTAAGTTGTATTTTAAAGCTTCAAAATGTTGCGAATACTAGACATTTACGTTTAGAAGCCATGTTGATATATTCTGTTTCATTTATTCTGATGTTTCTACACGTCTTCAAGTGTTGGCTTCAGAAAGCCTGTCTGTAATGATGAATCCTGCTGCTGATATGAGCACGTGAGGTGTTGGAGTGTGTGTGACGTCACCTCCGGTCTGAATCTGTGCTGCTGCTCAGGTATGACGGGCCGCTGGCGGAGGAGGCGTGTCTGCGGGCGGCGTGTGGGCGGGGCTTCAGCTCATCTGAATATGTCAGTCTGGTGAGGTGGCTCTCATCCAGACTCACGCGCATCACTGATGAACACACACAGGAGCCGCTCATCACAGGTGACACACACACACACACAGGAGCCGCTCATCACAGGTGACACACACACACACACAGGAGCCGCTCATCACAGGTGACACACACACACACACAGGAGCCGCTCATCACAGGTGACACACACACACACACAGGAGCCGCTCATCACAGGTGACACACACACACACACAGGAGCCGCTCATCACAGGTGACACACACACACACACAGGAGCCGCTCATCACAGGTGACACACACACACACACAGGAGCCGCTCATCACAGGTGACACACACACACACACAGGAGCCGCTCATCACAGGTGACACACACACACACACAGGAGCCGCTCATCACAGGTGACACACACACACACACAGGAGCCGCTCATCACAGGTGACACACACACACACACAGGAGCCGCTCATCACAGGTGACACACACACACACACAGGAGCCGCTCATCACAGGTGACACACACACACACACAGGAGCCGCTCATCACAGGTGACACACACACACACACAGGAGCCGCTCATCACAGGTGACACACACACACACACAGGAGCCGCTCATCACAGGTGACACACACACACACACAGGAGCCGCTCATCACAGGTGACACACACACACACACAGGAGCCGCTCATCACAGGTGACACACACACACACACAGGAGCCGCTCATCACAGGTGACACACACACACACACAGGAGCCGCTCATCACAGGTGACACACACACACACACAGGAGCCGCTCATCACAGGTGACACACACACACACACAGGAGCCGCTCATCACAGGTGACACACACACACACACAGGAGCCGCTCATCACAGGTGACACACACACACACACAGGAGCCGCTCATCACAGGTGACACACACACACACACAGGAGCCGCTCATCACAGGTGACACACACACACACACAGGAGCCGCTCATCACAGGTGACACACACACACACACAGGAGCCGCTCATCACAGGTGACACACACACACACACAGGAGCCGCTCATCACAGGTGACACACACACACACACAGGAGCCGCTCATCACAGGTGACACACACACACACACAGGAGCCGCTCATCACAGGTGACACACACACACACACACAGGAGCCGCTCATCACAGGTGACACACACACACACACACACACACTCTCACACACACTCTCTCTCACACAGACACACACACACTGAATTAAAATGTCTTTGTTTGAACGTGTGTGTGTGCTGGCAGAAGATCCTGACAGATGTGTGCTGGACACTGGCAGACTGCTGAAGGACTTGTGCTGTCCGTATGAAGGACTGGCGTCACGATTAGCAGTCGGAGACGTGAAGGACAGCGAGGAGCATCTGAAGATCCTCTGTGAGTGGTTTGCATGTTCATGTTTGTGGTGGCTGTTCATCTGTGTTGACCAAGAGTCTCTTCGTTCAGTGTTCTTGGCGTCGGAGCTTCAAGCTGCGGAGATCGTGGCCAGGAAACCGGCGACTGATGCGGACACAGAGGAGTTGGACACGTCTCTCCAGGATCTCAGAGTTATTTGTGAAACGCTGGAGCTGCCAGATCCAGCCGGACGAGACACCAGAGACGCGTTTACTGCTGTTGAGCAGCAGGTGCGTCATCCACTGCGTGTGTTTCAGTAGATTTCCTGACAGCCGTTGATTGCTTGGGCACAGAAACACATTTTTTGTTTACGTTTCATTGCATTTAATTTCATTGACATCTCCAAAACTGCTTCAGCTGGAGAAAAAAACCCAGCTTTTTTTTTGCCGCTGGTTTGATCAAATATGTTTGGTTGCTGAAGTTTCAGTGCATCACGTTTTCACTGAAGGGAAAAGAGAAGCGTGAACAATCTGTGTTTGTGTTTGAACGAGGGTTGGAATGACATCGAGGAGAGTACATGATGACAAAACCATGATTTAGATTAATTAACCCTTTAATATAAAGACACAAATACAGTATTTCACAGAAGTGAGCACACCCCTCACATTTTTGTAAATATTTTATATCTTGTGACAACACTGAAGAAATGACACTTTGCTACAATGTAAAGTAGTGTGTGTACAGCTTGTATAACAGTGTAAATTTGCTGTCCCCTCAAAATAACTCAACACACAGCCATTAAAGGGGTCATATGATGCTTTTTTAAAGATCATTATTTGGTGTAACAGAATATGTTGACATGCTTTAATGTTCAAAAAACACATAATTTTTCAAATACTGTACATTATTGTAGGTCCTCTAGGCCCCGCCTCTCTCAAAC